AAGTATAAATGGCGCAAAAAGAAAATTCAATTTTTTTTCGTTTTTGTCTTAATCTCGGATCACTATGGCTTAATCTCGGGTCAATATGCTTAATCTCAAGTCAAATCACACTCCATGGTTAAACTTCCCGAAAGGTCACCCATCCTCACACTACTCCAGCCCGAGCACACTTAACTTTACAATTCTATCCAACCCCAGCACCAGCTCACTTAACAGGCACTTGTTGATATATCTATCATATCAATCCTATTAAACCTTGTTGATGTCTATGACTTTGTTCATGTTCATGAGTGTGATGAAATTTTGAAAAAATATTTCAAACTTCCCGGTCATATGACATATCATATTTTGAACATTTTTTCCAAAAAAAATTTGAAACCAATTTTTTTCTGTTACTAGTGGCGCACCTAGCAAATGGTGCGCCATTACTAAGTTTTTTTTCATTTCCCCCCCTCTAGATCTTAAAAGCCCCGTATCTTTCGTTCTGTTAGGTTTTTGGGGATTCTGAAAATCTTCAACGGGGTTCCCCTTGTTGAATTCAGATGTAACTTTTCGAGTAGATGATTTTTCATATAAAAAACCTTTTAATCCGAGTTCGTATGCAAAAGTTATGCCCATTTTACTAAATTCCAGAGAGATTTTGCAAATAAAGTCGAAATTCATATTTGTAAATTTTCCCAACAACTAGACCACATATCACATGGGAAACATATTTTCTTTTATTTTTTGCCATTTCCATCATTTTTCTTTTATTTTTTTCTAAAACTGAAAAGGCGGTCCCAGGGAGGGGTGCAAAGAAAGTTAGTAATGGCGCACCTACACAAAGTGCGCCATTACTAAGTTTGACCAAGGTTTGACCCAGTCATACACATAGTAATGGCGCACTATCCCCTGGTGCGGCATTGCTAACAATTTTTTTTATTTTTTTTTCAAAACTAGTAATGGCGCACCACACACCAGGTGCGCCATTAGTAATATGTCAATAATGGCGTACCTGTATCTGGTGCGTCACTGCTATATAGCAGTGGTGCACCACATACATGGTGCACGATTAATGTCCATATTAGCTATAGCCCTTTTTGTACTAGTGGCGGGTTTATGATCAAGTCTATCTATGAACAATATTTGATTCTTCTCTGAAATCTTTTATATATGATTGATTATCTTTGCAAGTCTCTTTAAATTATCAGTTTGGTTTTGCCTACTAGATTGATCTTTTCTGCAATGGGAGAAGTGCTTAGCTTTGGGTTCAATCTTGCGGTGCTCGATCCCAGTGACAGAAAGGGAAACGACACGTATTGTATTGTTGCCATCGAGGATAAAATGATGGGGGTTATATCATATTTCTTGAGTTTATCCCTCTACATCATGTCATCTTACCTAATGCGTTACTTTGTTCTTATGAACTTAATACTCTAGATGCATGCTGGATAGCGGTCAATGTGTGGAGTAATAGTAGTAGATGCAGGCAGGAGTCGGTCTACTTGTCATAGACGTGATGCTTATATACATGATCATGCCTAGATATTCTTATAATTATTCGCGTTTCTATCAGTTGCTCGACAGTAATTTGTTCACCCACCGTAATACTTATGCTATCTTGAGAGAAGCCACTAGTGAAACTTATGGCCCCCGGGTCTATTCTCCACTATATTAATCTCCCGTCAACAAGTTATTTCTGGCACCGTTTATTTTGCAATCTTTACTTTCAATCTATATCATAAAAATACCAAAAATATTTATCTTATCATTATTAGCTCTATCAGATCTCACTCTCGTAAGTGACCATGAAGGGATTGACAACCCCTTCATCGCGTTGGTTGCGAGGTTCTTATTTGTTTGTGTAGGTAAGAGGGACTTGCGTGTAGTCTCCTACTGGAATGATACCTTGGTTCTTAAAAACTGAGGGAAATACTTATGCTACTTTACTGCATCACCCTTTTCTCTTCAAGGGAAAACCAACGCAGTGCTTAAGAGGTAGCAGTCATCACCGGAAGTGGTCCCGATTATTGTCACTTCGGGGTTACCGGATAATAACACATAGTAGGTGACTATTGACTTGCAAAATAGGATTAAGAACTCACATATATTCATGAAAACATAATAGGTCCAGATCTGAAATCATGGCATTCGGGCCCTAGTGACAAGCATTAAGCATAGCAAAGTCATAGCAACAACAATCTTAGAACATAATGGATACTAGGGATCAAACCATAACAAAACTAACTCGATTACATGATAAATCTCATCCAACCCATCACCGTCCAACAAGCCTATGATAGAATTACTCATGCACGGCGGTGAGCATCATGAAATTGGTGATGCAGGAAGGCTGATGATGACGATGGCGACGGATTTCCCTTTCCGGAGCCCTTAACGGACTCCAGATCAGCCCTCCCGAGAGAGATTAGGGCTTGGCGGCAGCTCCGTATCGTAAAACGCGAAGAATCCTTCTCTCCTATTTTTTTTCTCTCCAAACATGAATATATGGAGTTGGAGTTGACGTTGGTGGAGCCTCAGAGGGCCCACGAGGCAGGGGGTGCGCCCCAGGGGGCGCCCTGCACCCTCGTGGACAGGGTGTGGGCCCCATGGTGTTGATTCTTTTGCCAGTATTTTTTATTTATTTCAAAACGTGTCTCCGTTGATTTTCAGGTCATTCCGAGAACTTTTATTTCTGCACAAAAATAACACCATGACAATTCTGCTAAAAACAGCGTCAGTCCGGATTAGTTTCATTCAAATCATGCAAGTTAGAGTCCAAAACAAGACCAAAAGTGTTTGAAAAATTAGATACGATGGAGACGTATCAACTCCCCCAAGCTTAAACATTTGCTTGTCCTCAAGCAATTCAGTTGACAAACTGAAAGTGATAAAGAAAAACTGTTACAAACTCTGTTTGATCTTATTGTTGTAAATATGTAAAGCCAGCATTAAAGTTTTCAGCAAAGATTATGAACCAACCATATTCACAATAACGTTTAGGTCTCATGTTTACTCATTTAGGTCACGGCTGTGTCGGGGGAGCGGGGGTGGGAAGTTGTCGGTTCCCCGGTGGCGAGCGATGTGGGAGGTGACGGCGTTGCAGAGGGGACGTTGCGACGCCGGCAGCTGGTAGAGTCACCGGGAAAATTGGATGGCAGCGTAGGCGTCGAAGGAGGCGGGCAGGGTTTGATGTTGGATGGGGAGAGGCCAATGTGCCACCGACCAGCGGGCCAGAGGAAGAAGAAGACGAGCACGCGTGCGTCCGTCTCGAGGCCGCGCCAACGCAAATCCGGCTCAAAAATGGGCTGGGAATGGGTCGCCCACGGATGAAAAGCGGACACGCGTCCGTTCGGGTCGGCGCGCTGGACCGACTTTTGTGCCTGCGCCGACCCAAACGGACGTCCGCAGACGAAATGGGTCGTCCCGTTGGAGTTGCTCTAAATACATTGGAATTTTTTGGAAGGTATTTTTTGATTGTCAATAGAAAAACTGCCGCCAGGGGCGCAGACGCGCACCACCATGGCCTCCTTAATTACCTTGCGCCGGAGGGCGGAGGGCAGCCATGGGCCATGGCTGGCCTATTCGGAAGCTGCCGTGTACATTCTCTTTGCAAAGTGCTTTCGCTGTCTTGGAATCGGTATGCGCTCGCTGCTAGACCGGTGGTTGAATGGTCGCTAAGACGTACGGAAGGTGGCATGGAAAGTGGAACTAAAAGAACACCAAAACACGTTAGTTATCTGCACGTATGTACCTACCTATGTGCCTAAATAAACAAAGGAACACGGCGATCAAGCTGCCTACGACCTGGATTTGGACTTTGACGATGGACGGAAGAGAAATGCCAGGAAAATCAACACGATCTCGAGTTCACCGCCGACTCCACCAAGCGGACCGACCAGCTAGCCGGCCGGTCGTCTCCGAGTCTGCTAGACACGAACCAAATGAGAGGGAAACAAATCTTCTTTACACAATCACATTACTGCCTCTAATCCAAATTAACTGTCGCAGGTTTAGTGCAACTTTAGTACAAAGTTGCACTAAACCTGGGACGATTAGTTTGGATCGGAGGGAGTGACATTTTTTGTATACCCTCATTACTATGTACGGGTTATTATTTAGTAAACTCTAAAACTATTCTCAAGTATACTAGGAATTCAAAACATTGTAAAATGGGCCCTATGTTCATGACATGTTTGAAAAAATGATTGCTGAAATTTTGTAATCCGGTCCCTACAATTGTTTTCCTATCCAAGCTTTACGAGAAAAATGAAATAAAGACGAAGGGCATGGTCCAAGAGTTTATATTATGCTATGGTCGGTTTATGTCATGGGGTATATGATAAAAAAATATATAGTCTATGTTTGAGAACGAATAAAGAAATAGTTTTGGTTGGCTTAAGACATTGCATCTGTTTGTAAGGAGTTCATTTTTCACCAAATGAGCCTCGAGGGATAAGTACCGCCTGAACTCAAATTTGGGATGATTTTAACCCTTGAATCTTCAAAACCGAGTAATATCCCCCCTGAGTGTTTCTACTGTGATTTGTGGTTTTTCAATACGAGTCCGTGACATGAAGTGTAGGTAGAGCAAGTGAGGGGCTTTGACTTGGCATGTTTTTTTAGGGCTTGGCATATTTTTAGGGTTTTCTTAGGGCTGCTTGGCATATTTTTAGGATTTTCTTAGGGCTGCTTGGCATAGTTAGGTTGGGTCAGGTTCAACACACAACGAAACGCTTGCCTCGCAAAAAAAAAAAAAAGCGCTTCTCCCAGACTTTTTTTAGGGGAGGCTTTGCGGTATTCCTCCGTGGGCTTAAGTGCTTTGCTCTCCGATCTACCAAGCCCAACAAGGCCTGGTCCAGTCAGTCCAGAACTCCGAATCCAGCGACACGTCACGCCTTCTCGAGGCAAAGCAAAACCAAACCAAGCCAAGTATCCATCCAATCCAACCCGGCGCACGCAGCGACGACTCGCCGGAGAAGATTCCCGTCGGGAAATCAATCCATCGGAGGAGCTCCACGATGGCGGGGGAGGGAAGGCCGGACGCGCAGCTCTTCCAGCTCCTCACCGACCTTCTGCAGGAGGTACGTACGTGCGCCCGCACGCCGTCTTGATCCGCGTTCGATCTCGATTCCTCGCCGGCCGCCGTCGACTGGAGCCTGGCTCGCCGGTTTCCCGACCGGGAGGTTCGGTTTGCTCCTGTCCGAGGTCTCCCGTCTGCTGGATCTGGTAGGCTTAGAGAGGGGGAACGCGTCTGGTTCTGCTTACAATCGTTGACATTGCTATTATCTGTATCTGATATATGGCCAAAACGCCAACACCCAAGTACCTGCACTTGTTTACCAGGTTTTCACTCACAAATCATGAAAATCAGCACTGTTTGTACGTTTGTTTCATCGTGTGGTGATTTGCAAGACAAGAATAGGGTAGCCCCCCAGAATCTTTTGTAGTAGCTGTTTTGCATTGTTTTATCAGAAACTAAGCGAATATTATGGGTTTCTGTGCCACCGTGCACCTGCCCTACTTACTGTGTCTAGCTGTATCTGAATATTGGCAATGCCATGCGTGTGATGCTTTGTCTCATAATCTGTATACCAGTTCATTGATGTTGTCTCTGTCGATTCGGACATTGTTATGCAAAAACTGTTGGTTTACTCTTACACCTCAGTTTCCTGAGTATATTTCTTACTTCAGACAATTCAGCCTTGTATATTTTCCATGACTGTACTGTATTTGCCTTGTGGTGATGGACTCTTGAGTATAATTACCTTGGTGTCTCCATGCATCCGCCCAACTGATTGTCTCTAGCTGTATCTGAATATTGGCAATGCAATGCATGGGTGGCTTTGTCCCATAATTTGTAGTGTACCAGTTTATTGATATTGTCTCCTACTATTCACCTCCGTTTCCCGAGCATATTTTTTACTTCAGACAATATATTTTCCATGGCAATACCGCATTTGTCTTTTGGTGATGGACTCCTGATAAATTAACATGTCTTCAATCCTCTTTTGTTAATATGTAGGTGGAGTCAATGAGCAACCAGGAAGAGGTAGAATTGAGAGCAAAGATTGAAGCGCTGGGCCTAGAAGTCACTAAGGTTCCAGAGAAGGCACCTAAGCAACTTGATGAGGTAACTGCAGCAATCTTACCACCTCATCCTGCTATTCCCCTGTCCATGAATCCAAGTCTTATTGTCTCATTAGCTTTGTTCCAATTCTTTCTTCAGTTAGAAATAGCTGCAGAGCTGGACAGGCTGTCGGCAAGGCTCGATAATGTCGACAAGATGATATCATCTGCCATGACATCTGACCCCGAGGTGAAATCGCTTCTGAGCAGCACCGCCGATGTCTGGATGCCCGTCATCACCGCGTCTGCTGATGAAAGGCGAGGGTTTGCGGAAACAAGTGGCAACAAGGGAGAGCAAGAGAAATCTAAGTAAATAGCTTGGACTGAAGCCCTTGTAGTCCTTTGTGCCAGCCTTGTTCTACATGTTTCTTACATGAGTATATGTCCATAGCTATGTATCAAATGTTCTTTTTTGGGGGCATAACAGAAAATAATCACACATGTTGTTCATGTACTATAATAACTAATTTGTCGGATGGTTTGAGGTAATAAAGTCTGCCAAGTACTGTAGGGGCTTCCCTTATAGTCTTTTTGTCAAAAAAGAAAAGCCAGCCAAGCATTTAGCATTGTGTTCGGTTTCAAGAACAAAGATGTACCTGCGCTGCCAATTTTTTCTGAAAATGCACTCTGGTTGCAAGCATGTGGAAAGCATAGGTTTTGTATGGTGCTCATTTGCCTAGTTTTCCACAAATTATTTAGAACAATGTATTCGCTGCAAGAATGTGCTTCGGAAGTGTGGTCGTTGACAGAAACACATCATATCCACATTACCATCTTAAAAATGCAGTTAATTTGAATGTTTGAATCAATTTTTCGAATTCTACTCAGTTGAAGAGAGGGCACGGAACAGGGCAATCTGGTCTTGTATTCATTGTTTCAGAATAATAATAATATTGAGACAAGCTTAGAGCATTATCCCTCTAAAATCTGTGCTATTTATCCAATCACATGATCCGTTGGCTGCTACTCAGGCCAACTGGTCCCCACCGCAGCTTAGCTTCTTGGCGCGAAACCAACGACCGGGAGAGCACCACGAGCTCACATCGACGGTGGCCAGGTCGTACGCCGGCCCTCCTCCGCCACCCGCTGCCCCCTCCCGAGTACCTCCAAAGCTGTCGCCAGTCAGCCATGGCGACGCCCTCCCGTCCCACCGCCACACACTTCACCTTCTTGTCTCGGCTTATCCACACTCCCTCTAGCTGCACCACACTACACCACGTGACCTCTTCGCTCCCGTGCGTATTCACGAGCTGCTTGCTGGCTAGCTAGGAGGCGCGCTGCCGGCGAGGTGATCGGGTCGACGAGCGCGTGTTGCCGCAGCCATGGCCGACGACGGCAAGCCCCGCGACCAGACCCTCCAGGAGCTCGACGCGCTCAGCCACACGCTCTACCAGGCGCACAGCAACCGCCGCCACGCGTCGCTCGCCCTCCCGCGCGGCGTCGTCGGCGAGGATGTCGTAACGGCGGAGGCGCTCCGGGCAGAGGTCGCGCGCCCGCGGACCCGCCGCCTGTCCATGACGTCGCCGTTCCGGTCGAGGGGCAAGGCGGGGAAGAAGGATGACGACGACGAGGACGACGACCGCGGCAGCCTGAGGGCCGCGGCGCCGTCCAAGAGCCGGAGCTTCGCCGCCGCGGTCTCCCCGGCGCTGGGCGGCGGGGAGAAGAAGAAGGGGTTATGGGGCTGGAAGCCGATGCGCGCGCTGTCGCACATCGGCATGACCCGCCTCGGCTGCCTCTTCTCCGTCGAGGTGGCGGCGGCGCAGGGCCTGCCGTCGTCCATGGACGGGCTCCGCCTCGCCGTGGCCGTGCGCAAGAAGGAGTCGCGCGAGGGCGCCGTGCAGACCATGCCGTCCCGCGTGCAGCAGGGCGCTGCGGACTTCGAGGAGACACTTTTCGTCCGTTGCCACGTCTACTGCAGCGGCGGTGGCGCCGGCAAGCCGCCGGCGAAGTTCGAGCCCCGCCCGTTCCTGCTGTCCGTGGTCGCCGTGGACGCGCCGGAGCTGGACCTCGGCCAGAGCTCGGTGGACTTGAGCGCCCTCGTGAAGGAGTCCACGGAGAAGAGCCAGCAAGGGGAGCGCGTGCGGCAGTGGCAGATGGCGTTCCCTCTCGCCGGCAAGGCCAAGGGCGGCGAGCTCGTCGTCACGCTCGCGTTCCAGATCATGGAGGACGGCGGCGTCGGGCTCTACAGCCAGCCGGCCACCAAGACTGCTGCATCATCCTCCTCTAGTTCGTCGGCGTTGTTCGCAAGGAAGCAGAGCAAGACGTCGTTTAGCATCACGAGCCCCAAGGTCACGCGATCGGAGCCGTCATTTACGCCGGCGAAGGGCACGCCGTCGCAGGACTTGAGTGGAATCGACGACTTCAAGCTCGACGGACCTAGCACTCCGGTGCCCGAGCCCAAGCAGGAGCAGAAGAAAGAGCCGGAGCCGGAGGCGAAAGCCGATGACTCGGAGTTCACGGAGTTCGACTTCGACGTCGTCGACAAAGGCGTGGAGGGGCAAGAAGAGAAGGACGAAGCCAACGCCGACAGCAAGAAGGAAGACAAAGAGGCGGAGGAGGAGGAGAGCGCAACGCCGGCGGCCGGCGATGAGGTGGTCAAGGAGGTCGTGCACGACAGCGCGAGCATGTGGCGCCTCAACGAGCTGGAGGCGATCACCAATCAGATCAAGGCGCTCGAGTCACTGATGCTCGGCGACACGCTAGAAGAGGAGGCCGACAAGCCGGCAGAGCCGCAGGAGGACGAGGCGGCGGTGGAAGGGCTGGAGGCCGACGAGGAGGAGGTCACCAGAGAGTTCCTGCAGCTACTGGAGCAAGGAGAGGGCAATGGCAAGTCATCGACCGCTCCTCAGGTGTCATCGCTCAAGTCCAGCGCGAAGCCGGGCACCGGCGCCGACGAGGCTTGCTACGTCTCCGACCTAGGCAAGGGGCTCGGCCCCATCGTGCAGACCCGGGACGGCGGCTACCTGGCCGCGACGAACCCGTTTGACATCCCGGTTGTGAGGAAGGAGCTTCCCAAGCTCGCCATGCAACTGTCCAAGCCGTTCATCCTCCGCGGCCAGAAGCTGCCCGGCGGCGGCGCGGAGGTGTTCCAGCGACTGTGCGCCGGCGGGTGTGAGGCCCTGTGCGAGAAGCTGGGCGCGCTCACCGCGACCGACGAGGTGGTCGGCAAAACCGCAGAGCAGATCGCCTTCGAGGGCATGGCGTCGGCGATCATCAGCGCGCGGAGCAAGGAGCTCGGCGCGAGCTCCAGCGCGGCCGAGTCCGTCTCTCTGCTCCGGACAATGTCGGCGGCGATGAGCGACGGGCGCCAGGAGAGGATCACCACCGGCATCTGGAACGCCCATGAGGCGCCGGTGACAGCGGACGAGATTCTGCCGTTCTCGCTGCAGAAGATCGAGACTATGGCCATCGAGGCGCTCAAGGTGCAGGCCGGCGTCGCCGAAGAGCAGGCTCCCTTCGACGTGTCCCCGGTCACCGACGCGGTGGACGCTGGGCACCCTCTGGACGCCGCCGTGCCACCGGAGGAGTGGGCGAGTGCGTGCGCTGGCGCAGACGCGGTGACCATGCTGGTGGTGGCGCAGCTGAGGGATCCCATGCGCCGGTACGAGGCGGTCGGCGCGCCGTCCATCGTGGTAATCCAGGCTGGACGGGCCGGCACCGGCGCCGATGGCGAGACCAGGTTCAAGGTGGCCAATATGCACGTCGGCGGCATGCGGCTGAAGACGGCCGACCGGCGTAACGTGTGGGACGGAGAGAGGCAGAGGCTGACGGCGACGCACTGGCTCGTCGCCTATGGGCTCGGCAAGGCCGGCAAGAAGGGACGCCCGTCGGGGGCCGCAGCGGGGAAGATCGGGACTGACGTGCTGTGGAGCATGTCGTCGAGGGTGGTCGCCGACATGTGGCTCAAGCCGATGCGCAACCCGGACGTGAAGATCGCAGCCAACTAAAACTAGCTGCCGGTGAGCTCCTCTGTTTCTCTGCAGCTGAAACACTTCTTCATCTTCCACACCTCAGAACTACTTACTGAATTCCTGCACTTAACTTGTAGCAGGAAAATTGAAACTGTCAATGTTTTCTTCATCTTGTTCCTGTGTTGATGAGAATACTGTAAGTATTTTTTTTTTTTTGAACAGATACAATACAAGTATTTTCGTACAGGATATAAGAAATGAGAGTATCCAAAGTGTTGCTTGCTCCTGAATATAGTGTAAATGACAACTTGCAAGGGAATTTGATCACTACTACAAACAAATAAAGAAGAGTAACATCACACATAATATTATGATTCCAGTTTTCATCCTTCGCGGCATTATTTACAATGGATCTATAGCCGATTGTTTGCATGCACGACAAAATGACATTTTCTCACACAACTAACTTCGAAATGGAGATACTACAAAGCATCCTGAAAACACACCAGGCTGTAAGTCTGTAACCAAGGTGCCAAACGGGTGCTGAAGTTCATGGACTTATGGTTGTCTAAGATGCGTCTAGAACATACAAATCCTTCATACGGCTCAGTTAGCTACTGTTCCCTACAACTACAAATCACTCACATTCGTCATAATCAGCAAGAACTCAGAACTGTGGGTAAAATACTGCTGAGTGCCTCTGAGAAACAAAAAAATGTATCGATAAACTTTTGTAGAACAGGTCATATTACGTGTCAAGTTTTTCCAGATCACGAGGAAGCCCTCCACTGGGCGGCCTGAAATAAACAGATCAACAGTCATGACAATGCTATCCACAAGAGAGCTTTCAAGAATGTACAACAGAAAAGGTCTGTAGATAAGAGCTACCAACAACAGAAAATACAGTCTGTAGATAAGAAGATAAGGAAATTATTCCAGCCATCGAAGTGCACACTTACAATCCAGTAAATATCTTAATGGTATCGTAGAAGAACCATTGCATGGTCACGACAGGCCCTACAAGGGTAATTCGAATGGGCAGGCTTCTTGTGAACAGCCCACGCAATCCAATGCTTTTTATAGCCTGAAAGGGATACAATGTGATTATTATAGGAACAGAGTGTCAAGACTTGAAATTAACTAATCTGTTGGCTGGACAGGTACAGTCGCATCCTTACATGTAGAACGTTTTTAGCCTTTTTGTTGTACAGAGAAGAGACGATGTTATCTGCAGGATTTGAAACAACAGTACCAACAGCACCAGAAATATATCCAGCCAGGCATGTAGCACCAAGCTGCTGCGCTGTTGAACAATCCTGTTTCTTCTTTTGAATGACTTTCTGGTATAGGAAGTCGACGGTATGCTCAAATGACGAAAACATTATCATAGAAACTGCAGGAG